TATTTAAAAAGAAAACAGAGTGAATCAAATGTATATGATAAAGCCCCAGTTTGCAGACAGTTACAGGGACTATGAGTCTATCTGGTGGCAGCATACACAACATGAGTCTCCAATTTGTTCTCCATTGCAGACCTCCTGCTCCTTATTGTCTTTGGAAGGAACCTCCACTCTGTACGGTTCAGGTCATCAGAGCACACATTCTGTGAATCAATATTTAGGGTCACACACTGTATTGTAAGTTCTCAAAAGTCAGCACGTAATTTGTACTGACCCAAGGTCAAAAGGTGTTCATATTTAGTACAACCATTAAAGAATATCAAGAAAAACTGATACTAATACCTTGGTTCTTTCATGATGCAGTTCTTCAATTGCAGCTTTGTGACAAAGATAAGCCTGATTAGTGAGGTTTAAATGAATACATTGATTTGAATTTGTCTTTTACAACTTTAAATGAATGATTTTTCAACAAACTGTGTCAGCCTTACCTTTCTGGAGTTTCCTTATTTTAACAACCAAAACAATGATGGCCACCATGAAGAAAACAGTCAGAGTGCCCAGGGTCACAGTCATCCAAGGCATGTATTTTCCAATTTCTTCACCGCCTCCTAAAAAAAAGCGGCATTTAACATTGTTAATATTAAAGGTGTTCTAATTTAAAAAAACTTTTGAGAAGAGTTTTACTGTTAATCTCGAAGAGCACTTTATCATAGGATTCAACTTAAAGATAGGGTAGGTAAGTTGCTAAAATGATTGGTCGTACTTTTTACAGTATTACGGCTTCCACAGATGACATTTTGCTATGGATTTTTTGTCAAAGCATTTAAGATATTCATTGCTATCGGGATGTTAAGAGCATTCCATGGAATATAACAAAAAGTGTATCTCGAGCCAGTTTCTCAAACTTACCTACCCTACCTTTAATGGAGAAAAAATGGAGATAAAATGTCGGTCAATCAAGAGACCATGAACACACCATAGTGTAATACTATTAGAACAGCTACACTTTGAAGATATTACATGACCATAAACGTACCTATTTCACTCTTAAAGTATTAACTTGTTAAGCCCTGAGCCTGTTTTTCAGGTCTCAGGCTCGAAAATGACATTCCCAGAACAAATGACCATATCTTCCCTTCTAAAAGGGTTAAATTAATAATCTTTTTTCTCAAAGTAATGATAAACCTGTGAGTTGAATGTAGAAAAGTCAGAATCAATATAGATGTTTTTTATTTTAAAGAAAATTCAGATTTTACATAGTAAAAAACTGTAAATTATAGTGTCCGTCCAAACATTATTTTTTACTTATAGTGAAAACTACCCTTGGATGATGGTAAGGTAGACTAAAAGCTTTAGGAATCCAACATATAATAAGTACCCTGTATCAAGATTGATGCAAAACAAGTGACATTTGACCTTTTTAGAGAGATTTAGCAAAAAGAAACCACTTCTGGGGTCATTTGGGTGGATTTTCCATATCCCTGGCCCTCCTTGCTCGATTTTGATGGTTGACACCTCTTTCTGACTGTTAGAGCCAATAGAATCGAAGGGGGAGTCCCCCACACACACTCATAGAGAGGCGTAGTCCCGCCCATCTACTTCCGACCCATGGGACCTTATTTCGGAAAAATTATGCATTGAAGTCAATGGGGAGAGAAAGATTATCTTTTGATCCCGTTTGAATTGTGCCACGAATTACACATATGATGTTTGTCAATCTTAAAAATGAATTTCCATGTCAAAAAAGTCACAGTTTGTCGTAAAACTGTTGAAATATAAGACTATGAAAAATACGCAACTAGAAAGACTACAAATCTCAGAATCCCGGTCCCGCATCCTGGCTCTTACAGAACCGACTAACTCCCCTTTTGTGTATGTACAGCTCTCGACATGCCCAGAGTAGTGATTTTCACCTCTTTTAATACTTTTCGCCTCATTCTGAAAGAAAGAAGTGAAATGTGCCAACGTGACGGCCGTCTTGGTGTGTGGTGCGAGACGGGTGATGTAGGTCATTGAGCGGTTCACACAAAAAAAAAGTGTTACTTCACAGTTTTGCGACACATTTTTATTTTTTTGACTTGTAAAATTATCTTTTAAATTGACAAACATCATATGTGTAATTCGTGGCACAATTCAAACAGGATCGAAAGATAATCTTTCTCTCTCCATTGACTTCAATGCATAACTTTTCCGAAATAAGGTCCCATGGAGCGCAACCGGAAGGGGAGGGACTTCGCCTCTCTATTGTGAAAAAAAAAGGTGGGGGCTTTGCGCATGTAATTTTGCATTAGAGTGAAGCTACACTCGAGCTCTGACATCTAGAAACGTAAAAGCATGGATTATCCGTCTGTTTGCTCATGGATTATCAGAAATCATTTCAAAGGGACACAGACACATTGGATTAACCTATGAATTAACTTCAGCAGCGTTTTTATCGTTTTAATGCCATTGAAGACCACTTTGGAGAGACTACAGAGCCAAGGTAAAAATGTTAGCATTCTTAGCTACCTAGCGTCACCTGTTTTGATGTCTGTTTTTGTTTATAACATCGCAAATTCGTATAATTCAGTGATAATGAGGGTACCCATCGATTCTGTGTCACCTCACGATGTGAATCGATGTCATGGATGTGGAGAAGAGATAAATAATAAGGTTTTGTGAGTGATTTTTGGTGCAGTAATCTGTTAGCATTTTTCGCTCGTTGCTAATTCAGAGGCTCAATGTTAGCATTGTGGGATTTCTTTTGAAAAATAAATAAAAATGATCAGTTAGATGAGTTTCTTCCCGTTACATGGATATAAAACATTCATAGTTTATTAAAGCTCCCATGTCATGCTTTTCCAGTTATTACCCGTCCCCTTGTGTGTTATGAAGGTTTTTATGCATGTAAACGGTGTGCAGAGTCAAAACCCTCAAAGTACACCCTGTAGCGAGTAAAACTCTAACACAGAAAATACCTCCCCAAAACGCCTCGTTGGAGATACGTCACTGCCCATTTGAGTCTTCCATTTAGTTCCGGGTACGGCATGATGTCATGCGGTACCCGGAACGAAATGGACCAATCCCGAAGAGCTATGGCCACACCCAGCGGCGCTGGCCGCACCCTCTGCCAGCCTAACATTTACTGTTGGAAGCTCTGGTTCAGTTCACAATCGATCCAGTCATGCCAATGCCAAGGACCTGTTTCCTGAAATGTGAGGAGAAATCTGAGCTGTTTGTCCTACCGACGGAAGAACCACGACGAAGTCAGTGGTTGAAATGTATTTTTAACACTGTTCCTTCAGAGGTTCGAAGAACGTTACTGTGTGCGCGGCATTTCACAGACGAAAGCTTCCAAAACATTGCCCAGTTTTAGGCCGGATATGCACAGCATTTGAAACTGAAGGACGATGCTATTCCTAGTTTGTTTGGACCGTTTGGAGCAGGGGAAGATTCGGGTACACAACCTGTAAGTTTGCATTGTTATTTGTGTATTTATCAAACAAGACTGTTTAAACTTGTAAACTGTGTTGGACTGCTAAGCCATTGACACAGTGCTAACTGTGCTAACTAAGTTGCTAGCGTTTCCATATATCAACTCTAATATCAGCAGATGGCCTTGCATACATGTATCTCATAGCAGGAGAATGTCTGCATTCACACACGAAATACTCATAGACAGTATACTCCGGGTGATTTGCCGTACGGTCAGTCGCGAAACGTAATTACATTATAGCTGGCGTAGCGTGTATGCTACCGAGCTAACCAACGGAGCTAGACATGGGTTTGCTCGAGAACACATTTTTGTTATGCCAGCTACAATGAATGTAGCAGACTACCCGTATAAGATTGCAATTGTAAACACGTTCTTGCTAGCCTAATATGAATCACTAGCTTTTGTTCATAGTGGTTTTATTACACTAAACAAGCCCAGCTTACTGGGCTAACGACGTTGCTAGTGTTTAAATATATCAACTACAATGTCAGCAGATGGCCTTACATGTTTGTCATGGCAGGAGAATGTCTGCAGTCACACACGGAATACTCAAACAGTATACTCCGGGTGATTTACCGTACATTGTGACGGTACATGTACATACTGCATGTATAGCTAACGAGGCTAGCTATACATGCTAGCGCAAAACAATGTATTCATGCCAGTTACAATGAATGACTGAATGTAGCAGACTACCCGTATAAGATTGCAATTATAAACACGTTATTGCTAGCCTAATATGAACCACTAGCTTTTGTTCATAGTAGTTTTATTACACTACATTATAGTTGCCGTTCATATCGTGTTAGCTACCAAAGTAAACAAAGCTAGGTTAGTATATTAGCTGGCAAGCTTACTGTGTTCATTAGATAGATGGATTAGATAGATACACACTCCTACCACAACTACTACTAACAAATCTAAAACAACTAAGTTTCTCTAATATTTTGTGATTTGCATTTGATTTCGTCCAGCCAGATCCTGCCGGACAATACATGACGGGACTACCACACTGATGCATCGTCCTAAAAAGCCCCGGCTGCCTGCGATAGGCAAGATGCCGACAACGGGGAGGAATTGATGATATACCGTGTATGTATATTTATGTTCATTTTGTACATTTCTAAAAATAAAGTTTGAAGGAAATACTTCGTGGGCCTATCCTTTCTTCCCTGAATTATTTGCTCCTATAACATATCATTCATATATAGCAAACCATGATTTGATTTCTCATCAAACAGTAGTAGTTTATTACAGGTAAAAATAACTTACTCTTTGTTATGACCGGCTCGTAGGCCACAACGGAAAGACAAGGAGACATACACGAGTTTACAAAACCACGGCACATTTATTGTGGTAAATGCAGAGATAGGTGGTCGAGGGGAGAGGATCGCCGAGTTTGTCCTTCTGCAGCCGCTTTGGAGAGAGACAGGGGCCGCCGTGTGACTCCGGGCAGCTGGGCTTAATAGCACCTCGGCTCCGGTCAGGTGTCCGTGATCGCGCTGATTAGCCTCTTCAGCTCCACCCCATCGTAAGACCTGCAACACACCTGCACAAAGGCCCTGGGGCCGTCACACTCTTCTATTACAACAGTTGTAGGTACAGTTCGGTTAGTTAGCGTATTAAATATACGGCTGTACCGACGCCATTATAAGACTGATGTTCCGAGAGCGAGCCGAAAAAAGCACTGTTAGACATGGGCGGAGCCTCTCTGGTGGTTGACTAATCAGAACAGAGTGGCCGAGCTGACCAATCGGAGCACACTTGGCTCACAGGGAGGGAGGGGCAAGAGCTCCAACGAGTCATTTAGTGGAGAGAGTGAATACTGCTGAATACACATACTTTACAGAGATGCTGTATGCGAAACCAATGTGAGTTTGGAAAATTGCACAGTATAAATCTATTTTAGTATACCTCAACAATGTAATTATGATCAGTGGAAATGGCCATGACATGGGCCCTTTAAATGAACATGCCCTCAGACACTGTTTCCTGCAATATGTTGCGGCAGTGCCCCGATACCGGGGTCTCTCGGGCTTAACAGGTTAAATGAAGCCGAACAAAATGCACTCAGCTAAACTGTTTTCCTTTAAACAAATAATGTTAACATTATTAGAATTTTTTTATCAGAATGTTACTTTTACATATAGATTGTTTTAAGAAGGATAACCACAGAGAATACTTTTACAATAATCCTACCTGTAATGCTCAAACGTGCCGTGCTGAAATATGGAATCCCAGCTATGTAAAACCCACAGAAGTAAAGTCCAGAGTCAGATACATCCACTTGTTTGATTTCGAGAAAGAGGTTGGAGGTGTTGGATGTCATCTCAAATTTAGATTTTTGAACTCCATCACAGTAGAAAACCTTGCTGTAAGAATTGATCAACACGGCAACACAGCTGACCTCAGTTCTGTTCACCAGTCTGAACCAGTATGTCATGGTGTCATATTTGGAAATGTTGGCGCACGTCAATGTGGCATTTTCACCAGGCTGGACCTACACAGAAACCGGGACAGAAGTCGAGCCTGAAACTGCGAAGAAAAATATATATTTACTTTCAATTAAAAATTAAATTTGGATTTAAACAAAATCACCAAAGACATACATGCCATTGAGAGTAATTCAAGGGCAGTACTCACAGAAGCTGCAGAGACTTAAAGCTGTTATCAAGGTAGAGGTCTTCATGCTGGGTGTGATTGTGTTACGATATCCGATAGGACCCAAACGCAGGACACGGCAGAGTGTTGGAAAAAGGTTTATTGTGAGGTGGAGGAGCGTGGAGAGTAATCCGGTTGGAATGATGACTGGTGGCTGCAGGTGATGGTAACTAGGCGGCTGGAGAGTGATCCTGGAGCATAAGAGAAACAGGTGAGAAACGTATTCCATGTACAGAGAAATAGCTTAAATCGGCTAAGAAGGCTGAGAGTTACCACTGGGGTTTAAACAACGATCTGGCGCTGACATGTTGTGGAGCCTCCGCTGATATACCATTAGTAAATGGCTGAATGGGAATCAGGTGTGTAAGCTGATTGCAGCAGGTGGAGATTTGCAGCAGGTGGAGATTGAGCCGGGAGCCAGGAGTGACAGCCACCACGCCCACACAGACAGGGAAAGGGAACACACACTCACAAGGGAGGTGGCTGAAGAGTAGAGCCACCACAGTACCCCCCCCTTAAGGGACGCCTCCAGGCGGTCTACCAGGTCTACCAGGTCTACCAGGGTTATCACGGTGGAAGTCCCGAACCAGGGACGCGCCCACGATGTTTCGCCGGGGAACCCAAGACCTCTCCTCTGGACCATAGCCCTCCCAATCCACAAAATATTGGAATCCCCTTCCACGGCGACGAACGTCCAACAATCGCCTGACGGTGTAGGTTGGGTGATCATTGATGATGCGGGGGGGGTGGGGGAACACTCACTGGAGGAGACAAGGGGCTGCTGGCAACAGGTTTCAACAGAGAAACATGAAATGTCGGATGAACCTTCATGTGTGGGGGAAGCTTGAGTTTTACTGCAGATGGGTTGATAACTGAGTCGATGATGAAGGGGCCGACATAACGTGGCGTGAGTTTCTTCGACTCTGTCTTGAGTGGGAGATCTTTGGAGGAAAGCCAAACACTCTGACCTGGTAAGTAGTTGGGAGCCGGGGTCCTGTGGCGGTCTGCGATGAGGCAGTTGCGGGCAGCGGAGCGGAGCAGGGCGGCTCGGGTGTCCCTCCACACCTTATGACAGCGACGAAGGTGGGTCTGAACGGAAGGAACAGCAACCTCCTCTTCCTGGGATGGAAACAGGGGTGGTTGGAAACCCATGGCACAATGAAAGGGTGAAATACCTGTGGCTGCATTTGACAGGGAGTTGTGGGCATATTCGATCCATGGCAGATGTGGGCACCATGACGAAGGGTTCCTGAAAGCCACACAGCGAAGAGCCGCCCCCAGATCCTGGTTGGCCCGTTCCGTTTGCCCATTCGTCTGAGGATGATATCCAGATGACAGGCTCACTGATGCTCCCAGAGCCTGACAGAAGGCTTTCCAAACGTGGGAAATGAACTGGGGACCCCGGTCAGAGACGATGTCGGTGGGAATCCCATGGAGTCGAACAACATGATTGACCAGAAGATCTGCAGTCTCTCGGGCTGTGGGAAGCTTGGGAAGAGCAACAAAGTGTACCATCTTGGAAAATCTGTCCACAATAGTTAGGATGATGGTATTTCCTTGTGACAGTGGAAGTCCAGTGACAAAATCCAAGGCCACATGCGACCAAGGACGCCTAGGTACCGGCAGCGGGCGAAGCAGGCCAGAGGGAGATTGGTGGGAGGACTTGGCGCGGGCACATACTGTACAGGCAGCAACAAAGGCCCTGGTGTCTTGAGCCATGGAAGGCCACCAGAACCGTTGTTTTAGAATAAACAGTGTGCGATGGACACCAGGATGACAGGAGAGACGGGAGGTGTGTGCCCACTGCAGGACCTTGGAGCGAACAGGGGTAGGCACAAAAAGACTATTAGCTGGGCAGTTACCTGGGTTAGGTTGCGCCCGCTGAGCCTCCTTAACCAATGACTCAATCTCCCAGGTAACAGCCGCCACCACGCAGGAGGCAGGCAGGATAGTGTCTGGATTGGCAGCTGGTCCTTCGGAAGCGAACTGGCGAGAGAGAGCGTCCGGCTTGAGGTTCCGTGACCCTGGACGGTAGGTAAGGGTGAATGAGAAGCGGCCGAAATACAGGGCCCATCGAGCCTGACGAGAGTTAAGGCGCTTGGCAGATTGGATGTACGCCAAGTTTTTGTGGTCTGTCCATACAATAAAAGGGAGCTCGGCTCCCTCCAGCCAGTGCCTCCACTCCTCTAGGGCAAGTTTGACAGCCAGCAGCTCTCTGTTACCCACGTCATAGTTCTTCTCAGCTGGAGTGAGGCGGCGAGAGAAAAATGCACAAGGATGTAATTTTTGGTCTCGTTCCGAGCGCTGGGAAAGAACTGCCCCTACCCCGGTGTTGGAGGCATCGACCTCCACCACAAACTGGCGAGAGGAATCAGGGTGGATGAGCACAGGGGCAGTGGTGAAAAGTCTCTTTAGCTCCGAGAAGGCTGCATCGCACTCTGGGGTCCAGAAAAAACCAGTTGTAGGGGAAGTGAGTCTGGTTAAAGGGCCCGCCACTCTGCTGTAGTCTCTGATGAAGCGCCGATAAAAATTGGCGAAACCAAGAAACTGTTGAAGCAGTTTAACTGAGGTTGGTTTGGGCCACCCCGCCACCGCTTGGATCTTCTCAGGGTCGGTCCTAATCTTTCCTTCCTCAACGATGTAGCCCAGGAATGAGACTGTGTTGACATGAAATTCACATTTCTCCGCCTTCACAAAGAGTCTGTTTTCAAGGAGTCTCTGCAGCACCTGCCTGACATGGATAATGTGCTCCTCCTTGTTACGGGAGAAAATGAGAATGTCATCCAAGTAGACAAAGACTGACCGGTTGAGGAGGTCACGGAGCACATCGTTCACCATTGACTGAAAAACTGCTGGGGCATTCGTCAGTCCAAAAGGCATCACCAGATACTCAAAGTGACCGAGTGGTGTATTAAAGGCAGTCTTCCACTCGTCCCCTTCACGGATTCTGACGAGGTGGTAGGCATTGCGGAGGTCCAGTTTGGAAAAGATGGTGGCTTCCTGGAGGGGTTCAAAGGCGGAGTTAATGAGGGGTAATGGATATTTGTTTTTTATAGTGATGGCATTGAGACCCCTGTAATCAATGCAGGGCCGCAGTGAGCGGTCCTTCTTGGACACGAAGAAGAACCCAGCACCGACCGGGGAGGAGGATGGGCGGATGACACCAGCAGCCAGGGAGTCATGGATGTAACTCTCCATGGATTTTCTCTCAGGGCGAGACAGGTTGAACAGACGTGAGGAAGGCAGAGGGGCCCCGGGAAGGAGGTCAATGGGACAGTCGTAGGGTCGATGAGGAGGAAGAGAAAGAGCTCGCTGTTTACTGAACACCTCTCCTAGGCTATGATATTCCATGGGGACAGATAACAGGTCAGGCGGCTCGATCTTGGGTGGTGGAGCGGCGGCCTCTGCTGGCGGCAGGGCAGACTGCAGGCATGAGGATAAACAAAAACAACTCCAACTAATGATTTTGCCAGTTATCCAATCAATCTGGGGGTTGTGTGTTCTTAACCAGGGATGACCCAACACTATGGGAGCATGAGGTGAGGAAATAAGGTGAAACTGAATAAACTCACGATGGTTTCCAGACAGAATGAGGTTTACTGGCTTGGTGCGGTGAGTGACTTGGGCCAGGAATTGTCCATTTAGAGCATTGGCATTAAGAGGTGAATCTAACACTTCGCAGGGAATTCCTGCCTGAGCTGCAATGTCAATGTCCAAAAAATTCTCGTCCGCCCCTGAGTCCACTAAGGCGAGCAGGGGTAGTGACTGTTGGTTGCAGCAAAGAACGGCTTCTAGCTGCGTTCTGGGTCGGGGGTTGAGAGAGGAGGAAGGGCTCGCCAGAATCCCCACAGCTACTGACGAGCCTGACCTTTTGGCAGATTAGGACAGGAGGAAACTAGATGACTGGTTTGGCTGCAATAAACACATTCCCCAGCCTGGATCCTTCTAGCCCGCTCAGATGGTGAGAGGCGGGCCCTTCCCACTTGCATGGGCTCATCTTCGGGGGGTGAAACCGAGAAAGGAGTCGGAAAGGATCTGGAGATTGGGGCAGTGGCAGTGCCAATTCGGGGATCAAGTGAGGAGTAGCTGGGATTGGGGTGACGGCTATTCCTATCCCTGCGTCTCTCTCTGAGGCGATTATCAATCTTGATAGCTGTGGCAATTAAATTATCCAAGCTAACTGGATCATCCCTAGCAGCTAGCTCGTCTTTAATTGCTTCGTTCAGCCCTTGAAGAAAAACATCTTGCAATGACTCGTTATTCCAGCCTGAGTCAGCAGCAACTGTTCTAAACTCAACTGAAAATTCGGCTACACTACGGGAGCCCTGCCGGAGAGAAAGAAGGCGCCTAGAAGCGTCCCTCCCCCGTACCGGGTGATCAAAAACTTTTTTCATTTCGGAAATGAAAGTATCAAATGATAAGCAAATGTGTGGCTGGCTCTCCCTAACGGCTGTAGCCCAATCTAGAGCACTCCCCCTCAACAGACTCATGACATATGCTACCCTAGCCCCATCTGTATGATAAGTACTAGGCTGCTGCTCAAAAACTAACGAACACTGGAACAAAAAGGCTCTACAAATACCCAAATCTCCAGCGTATCGCTCCGGTGTAGGAATAACAGCCTCTCGTAGCTGATGGAGAGGTGCGGCAGGAGCGGGGGGAGGAGCTGTCGGCTGTGCAGCGGGCTGCGGGGGAGAAAACTGTGAGGTGAGCAGTTCCACTTGTGTGCCGATCCTTTGCACGTTAGCGGAGAGGTTCCGGAGAGTCTCCACAACCTCACGGAGAACCACGTCGTGATGCCCCACAAGAGCACCTTGATTGGCCAGGGCTTGGCTGAGTTTGTCCGTAGTCTTGGACTGGTGGCCTGTGTCCGCTGAGTCCATACTGGCCAGATCGTTCTGTTACGATATCCGATAGGACCCAAACGCAGGACACGGCAGAGTGTTGGAAAAAGGTTTATTGTGAGGTGGAGGAGCGTGGAGAGTAATCCGGTTGGAATGATGACTGGTGGCTGCAGGTGATGGTAA